TTCATTTTTATACGCGAGCGCCTTTCTCAGACCTACCATTTTCACCTCGGATTTAGGCTGAAATGAGGGCACCGACGGCCAAAATCGATTTTCACGATTTTCTCAAAATAAAAGTGAAATTATTCAAAATGAACATCAGTACGGTTATTGCAATGGTATTCCACATCTTTGGACCAAATATGAAAAAAATCGATTTTTTCAACTTGGCCACGGATTTTCGATTATGTTTGATTTTTACAGACATTGCCTCTTAACTTGTTTGGAAGTGTAGATGACCGATGAAGGTGTAGTTATACTAAAACAATTAACTGCCTCAGCCTCAGTGAATATCGAAGACTCGCGTCTCGGTAAATATTCCCCGATATTCACTTCGCCTTCGGCGAATAATTGTTAAATAATCTGAGTTTCTCGACCAATCAGCGCGCGAGATTTTCAATATTCACTTGCGTATTTTTTACTAAAACACAATAATTACCTCCAGCGATAATCCAAAATGGCGACCAGCCGCTTTGTTGCTGTTTCCTAATTTTAAATGTGTCTTTTATCTACTTCTTCTTCTTCTTCTTCTTCTTTTTTTTATTTTTTGTTGAAAGAATCGCCTGTGTATTTATATTAAAACAATTATTCACCTCAGGCTCGGTGAATATCCGGAATAATAAGCTTAATTTCGTTTCGGTTTTGGTTTGTGAAAATAGAATAGGTAGCCAAGAATGCTTTAACCGCTTTGAAACAAATGGGAAGTTCTAAAACACCGGGTAATTATGTTTCGCCGAGGACTGGAACTAATTGCGCGGACATGAATCCCGTCCAGTCCGATTTGTACGCTTTGAAATTACTTCTCATACTTATTAATAATTCGAGAGGTTATTTGTTTAGGATTGAAAGACTTAAGAGACAGATATGTCCCTGAACTGAATTAATTTGATCCAATCCAAGGACTTGAACAAAATTAATTCAGTCCTTTCACAGGACTTTATCAGGTTTCAAGTACCATCATGTGACCCAAAAAATAGCTCAGATAGGCTAGTTTACATATGAATTATTAATGAGTATGAGAAGGATTGACAAAAGTAATGAATTCTAATGGATCATGTGAACAATCTGAGACTTCAGGATAAAGATTTCACGCGGTTGGCTGGATTAGTACACGCAATGATTCTGAAGGAATGGAAAAACGCGCTGAAAGAAAGGAACATAATGCATAGTGCGAATGGACAACCAACGAGGTTTTTGACGTTAGACAAAAAATTTAAGTTGGAAAAGGTAGAAACAAACCAAATTTATCAATGTCTTATCACTCAAAGGTTTAAAACCCCGTCATCCCAAACAAATGTGAGTAAGCGTATAAATCAGGACATTAAAAACATTCAACTCGATTGCAAAGTAATATATAGAAGAATCTATAAACTTTCAATTACAACTCATACTAGAGCTTTTCAATTTAAAATACTTAATAATATTTTATACCTAAACCGCGACCTCTGTCGTTTTAATATAATTAATTACCCTACTTGCTTATAAGCTTACTTTTCTTCACAATACGTGTCACAAACCCTACATACAATTCAAAAGTATCCTTAATCCAACAAACTATAAACGAATAAAAAGTCAAACCACTAGAAACTTATTTCATTCAACTCAAGAAAGCCAAAC